TAAACATCTAACACTAGTTCGCTAAAAATCGAAATTGTGACTTCTGAATGCGAATAATTTGAGATGCTTATGACTTGGTGCGGTTTTGGAGGTAGAAAAGTTACAATGAGCTCAGGTCGAGAGGTCGAAGTGAGCTAAAAATTGGTGGCGTTTGCATGCAATTTGTGGCAGTGCGCTCTTCAATAATAAATTCCCAACGATTTATTTCGATTGATAAAACTGCCATCACATCAATTTATCAACTTGGATGTAGTGTTTTAATTTTAAGCAGGGATTTTTTAACTGTATTAAATTATATTAAACAGTCAAAGAAATAAATTTCGTGCAATTGCTTTAGGCAATTCCGGTGAACACTTGCGTATAACAGCATATATAATTATTCCTTACATAAACACAGAATACTATGTGTGTTGCTATGTGTTGTATGCATTTAGATCGGGTTAGTCAGCATTGTGTTATTCCGCTACATTCGAGTTTGCGCGTCTCTTTTCATTCATCGTTTGTTTACAATTAATTCACCTTGTACCGTTACATAACCAAGAGTAATTGCATCACTTGTTTTTGACAACTTTTGGTGTGTTGTTTCTGTTGTAGTGAATGCGGACTCGAATTAATTGAGTTTTAAGGAATTATTATCTATACATTCACGGTATTCGTCAGTGGTATTTATGTTGGTGGCTGCACAAGCGCACTTACGCAATGGTTCCAGCAAAACAGAAGGAGAGTTACAACCGCATTCAGCACATTCGATATTGCGTAACCGAATCAGAAATAAGAAAACACGTACAAATAATATCGGCGTTTTACCGACACTTCACTTTTGCGTACATCCCACATTCTGTATATGTAAATATTTGTCCTATTTGCATTTATGTGATTTTTTTCGTTTTTGGGTATTTCCTTAAAAAAAATATATATAAAAAAATCGAGATAGGAGCGAAGGAGGGTGCGGCGAGAGAAGCCAAAAAACCACGCCACGCTGAACTATTCATATAAAGCTACAAGGGTAATTGCATAACCATGGCACGAGTTGTTGTTGTTATTTTGTCAAATTTTTGTAAGCGCTTATAATACCGATGTACTATGCTCCATTATAGCTGTTGTTGTGGACGTTGTCGATGCGGTTGCTGTAATATTTAGTTGTTGTTCATCTCATTTCGGCGCCGTGCGCCAGGCCTTGAAAGTTCAATGCCTTTTTCGCGAGCGTTTAATTTGCTTTTACACACTCACAAAAACATACATACATATGTATATAAATATGTACAGCCATACTAATACTACAATGCAATAATGTTAATCGCTCAAAGAAAGCTGCACATAAAAGCTTCAATGCATTTGCAGCAGCTTTTACCAACTCATCGCCGAATAGAAAGAAGTATATATGAAATAATTTGCATAATTCACTTTGGCTGTAAAACGGAAAAATGCAGATCCTTCTTGTGCGTTCAAGTTATTCACCACTGTTCAGCGTTGACACAAACACAGTCACATTTATATATACTTAAAAGGAAGTGAGATAGACTCAGCTGATTTATTACACATGTATGCATGAATGTGCGAATCTGCGCCGAAAATTCCCTGGAACTTTAACTGCGCTAGCGAACACAACTGCAATTTCAATAGTACACATTTTAATTAGCAAAAATGATTCATCACAAAAGAGTAACACGTTTAGGTGAGGGTATGCATGTTTGAGATTTTGCAATAGCAAAAATCCACCGATGAATGGATATTAGAGAAACATCTCACAAGCCTTTGTATTTTTGGTGTGTGAAATGCCCAAAGGGAAATTTCAATGCAGAAGAARAAGGTCTGGCTTTGGTAATACTGTGTCTTTAATATTTATTGCAACTACCTGGTTTGCTGGATATGATGAAAAGGTATCATATTTTCTTCTGCCTAAAGCGGTTGATCACATCAGTGAGGATTGTTAGCGTTTAACCTTTACTTTGGTTTAAGTAAAGCTTTTAAGTCTTTTCAAATTATTATGGAAGCTTTCGAAATAAGTGAGACAGAGCGAAATAATAAAAAACCTAAAAACATGCTACTGGTATGGAAACACACTGAAAAAGAAATACTAATTTTATTTTCCATGCTCCCACATCTTTGKAATACAAATTATTCCATGCCTCTTYGTGKTTTAAAAACATTGAAGCAATAATATTTGTTCTTTGAAAATTTGATAAGAAAAATACAAAATATGAAATAATCAGAATGAAATATAGGCGATTTAGTCCTTGGGTTACATTAACGCCTGTTTTTTAAACAGTATTACAGCTAAATAATGAATTTCAGTCTTTTCCGCCAACCGAAATGCCAATTACACGATAATAAGAGATATAAAATTTTCACATATATACAAACATTTCTTATTTTGAAGCGCTGRCTGAAACGCAAGCACCCTTTTATAGAGAAAAGCATGTGTATTGGAGCAGAAAGCGCACCAGCAGTTGTTGCTTATGTAAAGCACACAAAGAACATCGAATAACAACAATAAAAACACTTACAGCAGCAGCAGCGCTGCCTTAGTTGGCAACAACTTTCACCTATTAATATTCGTGTCGTTCATTGCTCATGCAGAAGCATAGAAAGAAACTGAAAGAGTTAAAGAAACGTAGAAGTGAAATGAGTAAAATTAAAAAAAAAACGAGTACTCGTACATTCGTACACACATACATGCGCGTAAAGCTTCTCATCGGAATGATTACTTATAAAAAATTCATGTAATAAAAGAGAGTGTTTGTTTCTAATAATTAAGAGAATTATGTAGAAATCATGACTTTCCTCCGAACATAYGGCAAAATGCCACAGGTTCGTTTCGAACCTTTGTTTGCTTGAACCATCCCTTTGCTCTCGGAAGGAAATCCAATTTCAATAAGTATGTAGGGTATATACATATTATATTATTCCCACAATTTTCTGGTTGTCGCGGTGGCCACTCAGAAGTGGCCATGTCTCAACATCTCACGATCTACACGCATCTCAACGGTCCGTTCCCTGTAGGTCCGTGTACTTATACATATATATTGTATATATGTTGTGGATATGTACATGTATACATATGTATATGAGTATATTAAATATTTAAGTATGTGTGAAGTAAAAGTACAAAAAATACATGTGGCTATGAGTATTTTTATATGACTGTGCTGCTGCGCATGCGCATTGTATTAACATCAACTAGATGGAGAAGAAGTAGACAAAAAGACACTACAAACTGCCAGCTTGGTAAGAGCTTTTCTTGCTTTCTTCGTTTCAGTTTCGGCACCCAAGCATATAAAGTGGATTTCAAAGCAAWTTCAGTTGCTGTTCGTTCATCAGAAGTCAGTTATATAAAGTAATTCGAAAGCGACAGACTTCTCCCACATACGCGAATATTGTAAACGTATGTGTAAAGAGGGCTTACAACCTCTTGCATTTTTTAATGAATATAACCAATTTTCCAATAAAATGCTACATTTTCTAATTTCTAAAAATATATGAACTTATGACTGAAGCAGTCCAAACAATGAGAAAAACATGAGAAAAATTTCGCTGTTAAACTTCTATTGGTTTCCAAAATTGTATTTCACAGTAARAGTAAAACAAAAATAATAAATAAATAAAATGCATTAATAATAAAAGACAAGGCCATTGTAAAATATTGCCTGCAATTTGGCTGCCACCGTGCTTTCTAACCCAACAGACACTCTGYCAAGGCAGCTAATGGGCACGAAAATCGCTTGCCACTTGCAGGCCGCAGCTATTCCACCTGAGCAGACATTTCACCACAATCAAACTGTGAGTAGTGAAATCTTTCRGAAATTAAAAACAAGTTTCAAAATAGATAGAAAAATGTAACGAAAATAACAAACTATCACATAAATGATAAACTTGCAACGGAGGTCAGCCGCCATGTGCACCGCACCGAATTTAGTCAATGCTAAAATTGTTTTTGTGTTTTTTTCTTCTATCGTTGCGCGGCTGAGCATTTTGCTGCCTACCAATTGGTTTCTTTGGCTGCTGCGAAGAGAAAACGCCTGCCAACTCGACTTGTTGCAACTTAGTTACAAATATTCGCATACATACACAAACACACAGTCAGCACCTACAATAGTACGTTCATTTGACATCGGTGGCAACTACGGAGCAACGAAAACTCATCTGGAAAGCCATAGCAAGTGCAGGGTGGCGGTTGTACCGTTCGAGTACATCTCAGCTGTAMCTGCCGGGTGGACGCCACGGCAGTCTGCCTGCTGCATTCGAGTGGTTGCGGGGCTAGACTCGTTGGTCGGCTTTCATTTCTCGTCACATGCCTAAATTGCATTACACATTSCACTCGCGTATGTATGCACTATGATATGAGCACKACGGATAAGGTCCACTTTGTATGACTATTAGACTATTTAATTTTAACTCAAGTTATTTTAAACACACGACTAGAGAGAGAACTTAAGAACGGACAAATTTACATTTGTAAATGGGATTTAAATTAAAATATATAYGAAACACACCTATTGTGGTTATTGACTTTTTCCAAAGAGTATATTTATTTTTCAAATCGCAGTTCTTGATATTTATTTTGTTTATGCAATTCTCGAAATGATCGTTTCTGTCTTTTAGGAACATCTGAACGATGCAGTCTGTTTAAGTTGTCTTTGTATATATTTTCGCCCAAAAATTTATATTGCATCGCGAATTTCAACTTTGCGAAAGAGGCATTAAAGGGAGAGAATTCTTTGAACTAATTTTTTTCATATTAATTACTAATGAATCTATTAGAGAAAAATATCCATTAGATACAAATATATTTTAGAACAGACGTGAACATCACACTTTTTGTATAAAAGTTGTCAAGTAAAAATATCAGATGTTAGGGAGTCCTTAAATTGGAAACGTTTTTATTTTGTACTATAAAAAAACGCATTTAATATTGAACGCATTCCAAATTGAAAGTCTTTCGAGGGTCCTTTAAATATTTATTTATGTTTACATAATTTTATAGGGAAGTGTCTACTTACAACAGTATCGTGTCGAATATTGGCAATTGGCATTGACATTGGGCGCCATAATCTCATTGGCGGCCATGATTTCGTTGGCGGCCATATCCATGGATGCAGTTTGCTGTGAATTTTGGTGCAATGATTGCTGGCGAAAAGAAAACAGCGAGTATGTGAGTACGTTTGTTTGCAAGTATGTTTTGTTGCACAGTTAATAATCCGCAAGCAGTTTGGAGACTGTTGAGCGGCTCAAATCGGCCGCAGTTGTCTGTTTTTAATTAAAAAAATCTTAGTTAATTTTTTCCCAAAATTGCTATTGAAATTCTTATTTCTTCTTGCTATAATGCAGAGTGTTAGTTATCGAAATATCCACACACACAGTTCTTTTGAATTTTCCTTTTTTGTTTCGTCAAAATATCTATATATGTAAAAATATATATTATTGCTCTTTTGCGTTTTGAAAGTTGGAAATTTTCAGTACACAACAGAATTCACACTTTCACTTTTCGTTTACTTGCTTATGTTGTTGTTGTGATTGCATTGATGGCTTGGTGGTGGTATGAGTTGAAGGTGTGATGTTGCAGCGAGCTCTCACACGACATTTACGAGTGTCAGTGAGATAAACCCACGAAATTTCGAAAATCTTTTAAGTACTTCTACTTTACTTCAATTCACACTGGTGGCGGCGATTGACGCCAGCGAAACTCAAGTCAGCGCATTTTTCGATTTTCCTTAGAAACTTTTAAATTTTGTWCAGATTTATATAGAGCACACCTGCTTTATGCTTTCACACAATTTTCTAGAGTAAAAGTTTGAAAAAGACTTTTTAATTGTTTTTATTTTTACTTCTTTTTTATTTTATAAATCACGTCCTGTTCACACTTTTTATGTCAATATTCACAAACTTCAATAGTTTTTTTACACCAGTTTAGTAGCAAATAGTTTCAGATTTGCACTTTGAGAAAATTCACGAAGAACTGTTATCCAAATACAGGTGATTCCTGGCCGATTATTTTGTGTTTTTTKATTTATTTTCGATTTTTGTTTTCTAAGTATAAAACTGCTTGCTCACTTTCGATTGTGCTCCACTGTTAATCCGGTAAAAGTTAATAGAAATTTTAATGCACAGAAATGTAGCAGAYAACACAAATCTGAGTTTTAAGAATCGAACGTTCTCCGCGTCTTTCGAAAAAACGTAACGTCTACGTTGAGCAACTGGGAACGTCTGTGCGGCGTGTTGCAGTGAAACCAACGCTTATCCCCCAAACCGCTAAGCAGCAAAACTTTTTCCCATTTCGCTGTTGCTATTGCTGTTGCCGTTGCCTGCTGGTGTTGCTGGTGTTGCTGCTTTGGCCGCTACCGTTGCTGCTTCTTCGTTCCGAGTCGCTGCTGCTACTTCTATCAAAGTTACTAACAGCCACAAGCTTCTACTGTGGTGTATTTTTTTTTGCTTTTTTCTCTTCGTTTGCTTTCGCTTGCTCGTCGCTTGATACTAACTACTCATCTTGGCCGTGGAAATGCTTTCACGCGTGTACACATACACACACACGCCCAGCTGGCTTTCGCGATCGCGCTTGTGTGTCGGGCTTCTTTGTCTGCGCCTGAACAACTTCTTGGTCGCTTGTCTTCTTGTCATAGTGCCACTCTCAGCACCGCGCTCAGCGCTTACCATTGTTTCATTTCCATTCCGTTTCGTTATCGCTTCTATTGCGGTCTGAGTTTGTTAGTTCACGATATTTTGAGTTGTTGTGTGCTTTTTTAATTTTTGTTGCTGCTGTTCGGAGGATCACCTGGACAWCGTTACGAAGATTTATGAAACATAAAGAGTTAAATTTATTGACAATAAAAAATATTGCAACCTTTGTTAAAAGCTACCTAAAATTTTCTATAACATTAATTTTATGATCTAATATATAATAAAATCTTAAAAAATGTGGAATTATTTACATTCAAACTCTATCAAAACTAATTAGAAGAATATCACTTCGGTAATAAATCTATAAATTCAATTGAATTTAGAAAGTAAAGTTAGGTAGTTTTAGAGATCCGCTGCTCTGCTTCAAAGACCATCATTTATGTATAGAAGCATTCTTTGCATATTTTGTATTTTCCTCCTGTTCTTTTGTGATTTATCTTCCTTCTTCAATTTGTGTAGTAAAGCTGTAAAGCCAAAGCAAAGAGCAGTTGGTATTAAAAGCATTATTAGGGACAAATCCAGGTGTCTGCAGTTATGTGAAAATRCCCATGTTGACTCAGCTCTGCTCTCGTACGAAGCGGGGCGATTCCAAAGATGGAAAGTGTTTATAATCAGGAGTTACTTTTTATTATTCGTTGATATGTTTTTCATTTTGAGAGATAAAATTCTGTACTTTTTGCCGAGTCTTCATTTTTCGGCATTGCGACTGGAAAATGTATATCAAGCTGCGGCTTTAACTGCCTTATTCATAGCAATTCAGTGGTATTATTTGATCAAGACAAATAAGCATACCGTTAATCTGAATAATTTTAGTTTGAGAATTTTCCACAGGAACAAATCAGTAACTTTTGACTACAGAGGCATCACCTACAAAGCAATAAATATCAAAACATATAGTATACTTCCGCTTTGGAAAAATTTTACCTTTGAATATGACATGTATGTAATCTAGAAAATAAAGAGAGACAAATAAAATAAAGAAGAAACAAATAAGTAAATATGCCTATTTTATAGTTAATTAATACCTTTGTTTCCAATTTTGTAATTACTTAATTTAATTTTGCTTTGTTGACATTTAAGGCTTTCAACCAAATTTTCTTATTAACTTTTGTTTAGTTATAAGTATATACGCACATATCCATATGTTTCTATATATAAGACCACAGTTTTCTTTTGCTCCTCAGTTTCCGTGTTGTTGTTGTTGATGAAGAAAGTTTCTTGCTGCTTTGTGATGATTTAACATACAACGCATTGACAAGTTTCAGCGTTTCATTGTGTGTGCTTATTTTGAGCACTCCATTATGTGTATGTATGTGTGTGTGCGCGGAGGTACAAATTTTTAAAATGTGTTTGTGAATGGCAGCATAAAGTTGGCTTTGGCTATGCCCTGTGTGACTACGAGTATAAGTAGAACTGAGGATGGAACGATGTTGAATTCAAATGTTTGTATTTGTAGCGTAAAGGTTTTCCGATGCAGACCTTAGGTGACTGTAGAAAGCTTCTATCATTCAAAATACTATCCTGCGGCAAGTAGTTATTTAGTTAGAGTCTTTAGGCTGTTCAATGCTTCAAAGTCCTCATTCTTCAAGGAGCGGCGCTGTTTTTCGTTTTACATTACTTACTCTGTTTGTACAAATATATTTTCCAGCTAGTTGTTGCAATTATTTAAACAAATTCCTACTTTATAGGAAAATGTGTATTTCTATCAAATTTGAACGGTTTAATCTTCCATTATTAAGTTTTATAATTTTCGTTTCTCTCACTCTCGCTTTTGCATTACCTCTCTCTATTTCTCTTTGCACTTTCTACTACTAGCCATCCAAGAAGTAGACAAATCTTTGCTTATGTTTCAGCTTTGTATTGTTCATGGCTTTTAACGTCGTGCATCTATTATAATAACTTTTGTTGTAAATTTGCTGACGAGCGCTTTAAAGTAATTTTTGTCATATCTGTGTAAAATGTTTCTGAGTGTCTCTACTTCTTTTTGGTCACACAAATGGTTTGGGTTTTGACTTCGGTGCTGAAGAAGTTACATTATATAATTAAGAGTGATTTGCTTCTTCATGTCAATGTTGAATCAGCATTCATGTTTTTACAGTACGAACTGTATGTACATATATATTAGTGATATCTTTTATTCTCCTCCTCTCCTCAAATTATAAAAAAATTTTGCTTTTGAAGTATTTAACGGTTAATATGCTGCATTTAGTTTTATTTGTATTATCTCACATTTCTCTGAATTGTTTCTTTGATATCTCGTTTTCTTGTGGGAGAAAACTGTTTCCGGTTTCTTACTGCAAAGCTGGGCTTTGTGACATCTTGACGAGCACTGACTCATTACTAGCCCTTGCGCTGTCGAAAAGTCCTTTTTCTCCGTCGTAATTGACAAATGATCTCGGGAGTTATTCGCTTTCAGAAAGTTTTGCTTTATTAGTCGTAAGATTTTCAAGAATTCGTTATAAGAATAATTTAATAAGATTATTATTTTCTATAATTTTGAAAGTAGGAGCAGTATTTTAGATAACATAATATAATTGGAGAACTGCCATGCTGACGCTCGAGTACAATAACAATCGTCAAAAAAATGTGACTCCTGCGCCATCTATCGAGTACTCAAGTTTGGGCACAATATTTGCAATTACTTAAGATATTTCACATAATGYGTTTTCAACTTGCTATGACTTTTATGAAAAAATATCGCTCGGATTACCAAATGATCACTTACAATTTTCTTATAGTGTTAGATATTTATTCACAATAAAAACTTTACAGTGAGCCAAATAGTTAGCAAATGCAGAGAATTCTTGTGACCCAACCTTTGCTCATACTAGGTTCACTTTTTGTAGCCTCGTACGCCGGATCGCATAATTCCGTTAGTATATCTATTTACATATGTATATAGTACATAGCATATGTATATATATAATATCTCCAAAATATATGTTTATATATAAGTACATAGCATATGTATATATATAATATCTCCAAAATATATGTTTATATATAAGCATGTACATACATTTTAATTTCTATTTTACAATTACAGCGACGCACATTTCACCATAATTTACAAATTGAAATTAATGATTKTGCTGAAACGAAAGACTTAAGACACAAACTCGTCGCATACAAAATACAAGTTAATGCACACCGCGTTTCGGTTAGCAAGACGGWACCGAAATCAAATCAAAATACCACGCCACAACCACACACACATAAGTACATACATTTGTACGTAAGCGTTTTCACTTTTCAAATAACTTTAAAGCCACCAAAATACAGAGAAAGAACTGGCAGAAATGTAAGAAAGGCAAGAAACAGAAAAATGCTACAACCCGCGTTAATTTTTTCGAAGAAAGGTAAATGGACAAAGCACAAAAGAAGACGGTGAGGAAATAAGTGGAATRCGCTGCAAGCTGAAAAAGAAGCACACACCAACATATGTGGACTGCCGCCTAATGATTTCATAGTATCTTGAAATTATGCCCTTAAATGCCAAAGAAAGGTGAATCAAAAGGTGTTCTGCAGAAGCAGAATCTACGATTTTTTATTTAGGAAGCTGGGCCAAGAACAGTCAAGAAGAAGCACAACACAAGTCATGCTCGAAACTCGCAACTAAATTAGGTCGTGTTCAAAAGAAATGAAAAACCACGACCAGAAAGAGGAATGTCAAGTTGAGAGGAATCGCGGCTGACGAATTGAATGCAAATAAAAAATTGAATTCGGTTGGTGTGTTCTGATTCACGAACATTGATGTGTCTGTGTGAGTGCAAGCTTGAATTTAGGAGAAAGAATTTCCCGCATTGACCCCATTACACATTCACCAAAAAAATCGAAAAATGAAGAACGCACACACACAGATATAAAAAAATAAAAATAAGCCAATGCGGAGATGTGACCAAAGCAAAGAAACGGAGAACGCCAATGAAAGCGAAGTGCCAGCAGAGGCGGGTATTTTATTTAAGCCCAAACCACAATCTACACACACACAAACACAGAGGCTGGTGCGTTAAATAAATAAATAACTGAATAAGTTGGCCAAGTTTGACACACCGTTGAAGGTAAAAATCACGCACTCAAAGCTCTGAAAGCACAGCCTTCAAAACGAAAATAAAATAAATTTATTGACAAAGAGCTGSTAAACGCAAACAATGGCACAATCCAAAAGAAATAAAATTAAAATGTACATCAGAAACAGTTATGTGCAGACAATCGAAAGTTTTTACGCGAATTTTTCTTTTATTTATTTTTTAAGATTTTTTGTTTTGTTTTTTGCGTTGTTTGCGGCGTCATTTGAGTGATTTGCTTGCGAATGGTAGTATATACCAGGACCCATCATCTGATCACTAATCAGCGSGCAATCAACATGTTGATCAGATAACCCTCTTTGCGGCAAGGTAAAAAAAAAGGGTTGAACTTTGCCGATGGGTAAAATTTGTAATGGTTTTCKAAAATTAAAGTAATAAATATTGCCATATGTTCAAACTGTATTCGTAAATATTTTTTATTTATTGTCAAAAAAGATTTCGACGACGCCAACCATTT